CTTATGTTCATTATATGTTCGAATTTCGTTTATACAGTGTTTGGATTTGTTATTTTGTTCTTCAATTTCAGTAGATTTTTTTGCAAATATAAACCCTAGATTTCACTTAATTTTTTTTCGAATTTACATTTTTAAATTTAGCTAGTTCAATTGCAATTTATTTCAATATATGTTCTTACAATTTTTTCGATTTTTAGGATTTTTTCTATTTTAGGTATTTTATTTTGTTTATTCGGTTTTTTTCGATACTCTTTCGATTTTTAGGATTTTATCGATTTCAGGTAATTTATTTTTGTTCTTTCGTTTATTTCTACTGTCATCGATTTTAATTCGAATTTAGATTCAAGGTTTTAGCGATTTTGTACTGCAAATTTTTTTTTATTATTTGGCCTATGTTCTAAATTAGTTCTATGTTATAAATTATCTATACAGTGTAGTTAATTGATTGGATGTAATTTGTAGCATTAGTATTAGTTTAATTGATTAGCATTATTATACTTCATGTTCGATTATTTTTATGATCATGTTCTAAATTTAAGTGTCGTATGTTCTAAAGATGTTCTGGCTAGGTGTGGTATGTAGAGGAAGTTCAGGAGAGATCCTTTGGTGTGCTGCGTTTCAGAGCTTAGAAAAATGGGAATCGAGGGTGGGGGAAGCCAAGACTGTTTTCTAGGGGCTGCATATGGCGTAAGGTCATAAGTGAGGCAAACCCTGCCACTGTAATTGGTGTTCCAATACAGTCTACAAATTTGATGTATGCAATGTCATATGAGTGGTCTATACGATCTTTTGTAATCTTGGCACATCGTAACTCCTAAGAGATCACTTGCACTACAAGAAAACAGCTGGATTCCGACGGAATTTTTCCGTCAAAAACATAGGAAATTCCGTTGGAACAAGCCTTCCGACGGAATTCCGTCAGAAGTAGTCTGTCGGAGCACCCCTTGTCGGAAATTCGGCCTTGTCCGGCGGAAATTCCGTCGGAAGAGGTGATTTCGACGGATCTAATTCTGTCGGCGCTGATTTTGACTTTAATTGAAATTCCGTCGCAAAGTTCCGACGGAAAATTCCATCGGAGGTGGATTAGCTTCCGATGGAATATTCCGTCGGAAGAGGAATATTCCGTCAACGGATCTAATTCTGTCGGCGCTGATTTTGACTTTAATTGAAATTCCGTCGCAAAGTTCCGACGGAAAATTCCATCGGAGGTGGATTAGCTTCCGACGGAATTTTCCGTCGGAAGAGGAATATTCCGACGGAATATTCAGTCGTCGGAAAAGGAATATTCCGACGAAAATTCAATAAAAAAAATAAAAAAATAAAAAAACCAGACCCCCACCCTGGCCAGACCACCCCCACCCTGCCCAGACCAGCCCCCCACCCCCTGCCCCCTACTACCCACCCACACCATCACCAACCCACCCCACCCCACTCCCTGACTCTCCACACCACCACTGCCCCCCTACCCCCTCCCCCTAAACCGTACCACCAACCCACACCACCCACCTTAACCAACCAGTCCCCCTAACCCGTACCACCAACCCACACCACCCCATAACCACCACCCAAACCCGAAACCACCCAGATCTACCACCCAAACCCACGCCATCAAAACCCACGAAACCACCAAAAAAACCCACCACCTCCAAAAATCGCCACCCACCACCAACCCACACACCACAAACGCACACACAACCACTTTACACACAAAAAATAAAAATAAAAACAAAGAAAAAAAAAATCGCAAATCGAAAAATTAAATAACAAAACATACCTTATTATTTGAAATAGAGTCGAATTTAACCACGAGAACGGTTTAACAAGGCCAAATTCGGCCATTAAAAGTCTAGATCTAGGCTTTTAATGGTCGAATTTGGCCTAAAAAACCACCAAGATCGACGTTGGGCATAGTGGTGGTATGGTGGTGTTGGTTGAGGCGGGAAGGAGGGGAAAGAAATTAAATCACGTTGGTGTGAGAATGAAGGAGGGGAAATAATTCAGAGAAGAAGGAGGCGAGAAAGAGGAAAGAAGGAGAGGAGAGAGAAGGAGAAGAGATTCAGAGAATTGCATAGAGGAAGAAGAAGAGAAGAAGAGAGAGAAAGAGAGGGGAAAGAGGCGGAGAAAGAGGGGAGAGTAATAAGGCGGAAACTTAGGGTTTTTTTTTATATAAATAATTAATTTTATTTCGACGGAATATTCCGTCGGAATATTCCGACGAGTTTTAATTCCGTCGGAAATATAATTATTCCGAGGGAATATTCCATCGTAAACTTCCGACGGATTGTTTTTCCGCCGGAAAAGTAATTTTCCGACGGAATATTCCGTCGAAAACCTTTATATTCCAACGGATTTTAATTCCGTCGAAAATTTCCGACGAAATAAAAATCCATCGGAACTTCTGAGGTTTCCGACGGAATTTAGGGTCCGTCGGAAACAGTCCGTCGGAAATCAGCCTATTTCTAGTAGTGTTGAGGGTTGAGAATCCTTTTCTCCTAGATATTTTGGATATTTGCCTTGTGAGTCAAAGCTCACTTGCTTTTGTTTGCTGCTCTTTGTTGCAAGGCTGTTTGTGCTGTTATGTTAAGCTTTGTTTCTTTTGTCTGCTGTTGGCTGCTTGTTTATCAGCTTGGATGTTGCTGTGGGCTGCTGCTGTGCTTGGCTGTTCTTTTTGGTCCTGGGCTGGTGTTCCTTGGTGATGATGTGTTCCTCTCTTACATCCTGTCTTTGCTTATTGTGTAGCTTTGTTTGTTGCTATGGTGTTTTGTTGTCTTGATGTTTGCCTTTGTTTGTTTTGGTTTTGGTTGTTTGCTAGCTTTTTGCGAGCTTAGTTTTGTTGTATTGTTGTTGGTGGATGTTTGGCCTCTTGGCTGTTGTAGATAGGTGTGGGCGTGCTTTGCCCTTTCTTTGGTAATAAAATTCTTATTTACCAAAAAAAATTTAGAACATAGGAAAAAAAAACTTATTTAGAACATAGGAAAAAAAAAACTTTAGAACATAAGTAGACTAAATTTAGAATATAGAAAAAAATAATTTAGAACATAAGTAAGAGAATATTCAGAACATAGGAAAAAAAAAAACTTTAGAACATAGGTAGAAAAAATTTAGAACATAGGTTGAAAAAATTTAGAACATAAGTATACTAAATTTAGAATATAGGAAAAAAAATAAAAATTTGTGAGTGTTATATTAAATAAAAATTTGTAGATATAAATTTAATTGATGAGCTATTAAATTCTCAAGTCAATTTGATTTGTATAAGTGTTTGTGAGTAGTTGGTGTGGCTAAATTTAAAACATAGGAAAAAAAAAAACTTTAGAACATAAGTAGACTAAATTTAGAACATAGGAAAAAAAATTTAGAGCATAGGTAAAATAATATTTAGAACATAGGGAAAAAAAAAATTTAGAACATACGTAGTAAAAATTTAGAACATAGGAAAAAAAAATCAGAACATAAGTAGACTAAATTTAGAACATAGGAAAAAAAATTTAGAACATAGGTAAAAGAATATTTAGAACATAGGAAAAAAAAACTTTAGAACATAGGTAGAAAAAACTTTAGAACATAGGTGTAGAATATACGAACAACTTTAAAACATAGGAAATGTTTGGAACATAAGAAAATGATTTGCAACATAGTAAAAATTTAGAACATAGAAAATTAGAACATTGGGAAAAAAAATTGGAAATTTAGAATATTGGGAAAAAAAATAAGAGCATAGAAAATAAGTTTAGAACATATACTAAAAATTTAGAACATAGGGTGAAAAAATTTAGAACATAGGATAAAGTTTAGAACATAGATAGAAAAAATTTAGAACGTACGGAAAAAAAAAATTAGAAAATAGGTAGAAAAAATTTAGAACATAGGATAAAATTTAGAGCATACAGAAAAAATTTAGAACATAGGAAATAAATTTAGAATATAGACAAAAAAAAATTGAATATAGGATATATATTTAGAACATGGACAAAAAAATTTTGAACATAAACAATAAAATGTAGAACATAGGAAAATAGTTTAGAACATACATATATTTAGAGCTTAGATTGAAAAATTTAGAGTTTAAGCAATAAATTTTAGAACATATGCAAATAATATTAAGTACATATGATAAAACTTATTAGCTCAATTGGAAGAGCACTATGCAAATGCATAAAGGATGTAGGTTCAATTCCTACATAGGTTATCTTTATAAATAACTAATAAAAACTTCAAATGTTTTATTTTTTGTAAAAAAAATCCAATAAAACAAATTAAATTAGCACTAAGTTATATGAGCAGAAAATAAGTAGACTAAATTTAAAACATAAGAAAAAAAAACTATAGAACATAAGTAGACTAAATTTAGAACATCTGTAAAAGAATATTTAGAACGTAGGAAAAAAAAAACTTTAGAACATAGGTAGTAAAAATTTAGAACATAGGAAAAAAAAACTTTAGAACATAAATAGACTGAATTTAGAACATAAGCAAAAGAATTTAGAATATAGGTAAAAGAATATTTAGAACATAGGAAAAAAAAATTTAGAACATAGGTAGAAAAAATTTAGAACATAGAAAAAAAAAATTAGAACATAAGTAGACTAAATTTAGAACATAGAAGTGGGCAAAAAAAAATTAGAACATAAAAGAAGAATTACAGAAATGCCATTACTAAAGGATCATTTTAGATTGTTGGATCAAAACTAGCAAAAAAAATATTAGAACATAAAAGAAGAATTACAGAAATGCCATTACTAAAGGATCATTTTAGATTGTTGAATCAAAATTAATAAACGGCTGAGATTGATTCTTATATAAGATTGAGTTCTTATATAGAGGAGGGTTCTTATATGAGTCTTCCTATATATATATATATATATATATATATATATATATATATATATATATATATATATATATATATATATATATATATATATATAGTTTTATTATAAATATGTAATTTGAAACTTTTGCTTCACATATAGTTTTATTATAAATATATATATATATGTATTAAGAGCTACAGTGACACAAAAGTCACTAGTTCAAATCACATCCACCATTCCATACCGCACTTTCAAGTAGAATTTTTCATGTGGTGTATAAAAGGCCCATACCACATTTCACATTGCAAACCTAAAGGGTCTTTTTTTTCAATAGTAAAAAAATTCATTAATAAAAAGTCATACGACATCTACAAAAGAGATTCGGTTTTAAAAATACATAAGATATTGAATCAAATAAATATTCATTCATAAAACTACAATCATCGAGTAGATCTTGCATTGTGGAATATATCCCACTCATATCGCTGGAAAAGCCTTGTTGGAGAGACAATCTAACGATCCTTTGTAGCCGTAAGGATGTTTTCCTCCTGATTCATCTGTTTGTATTCGAAGCTTAATAACCCCTGCGATCTCGCATAATTTTTCACCAACGAAATAATTTCACAACAATCCATTAGATCTAATATCATGTATTCAAACCTAAAAAGATTCTCCCCCGAAAAGAGGAGATAAATCTATCTGTCAAAAGAGGTTGAAAAATTCTTGTCTTTCGAAAAAGATAGGAAACCCTTTCTTTCGAGGGAGAAAAGTTCCTCCTAAAAGGAGGAAGCATTATTATAAACCTAAAAAAACTTTTAAAGAAACAAGGATGGAGGCTTTCCACCGGTTAAAACCGATGAAAGCCCCTTAAAAAAACAACAATGGAGGCTAGGGTTGAGGAGGGAGGAAGCACCTAAAGGGTAGTGGTGGCAATTTGGGTCAGGTCGGGTTCGGATCAGATTTCGGGTCTATTTTGGATTATGTTTAGAAACAATCGAAAATAACGTAAAACTTAAAATTATTACGAAATATGAAATATGGGTCAAATCGGGTCGAAGTCTTTCTAATTATCCAAAAAATTAGAACATCCATAATGGCGAGCTACATGTACATGTAGCTTTGGGTTGCCACATCATTAATCCCCAAGCTACAACCTCTACAATAGTAAGTTACATCCTTTTGTAATATATAAATTTTAAAAAAATAAACAAACAAATACATAAAAAATATTAAACAAATCAATATATGTGTGTTGGGTGGAGTGATAGAATTATGTAGGTTGGCTTAGCTATAAGTGGTTGTAACTCTACAATGACTAGCATGTACCTAGAATAATTGCTAGCAGGTCCTTATGCACAATTATTGTGAATGCTCTTACGAATTTTGACAGATTTTTGCTTGAATTGTTCGATATGTCGGTGTCATTCTCGTGTTATTGTTCAAACTTCGAAGTTACTCCGTATACGAGTTAAAGAGCTTCAACTTCAACACTAATTAAATTCCAACTATCTTTTACTCTCTCATCCCATATGATCAAACATGGGTCCTCACAATTCAATTTACAACAATTGGGTGTTCACCGTATTAATCTTGTATTTATGGTCTCAATCTAAATGGGTCAAAATCATCTGGGTTTCTGGGGCCAACTCAGAATCCGACCCGAATTCCCTCGGTCAAGAATTACTGGAAATGGCCAGAAATCCCGAGTTCTTCGATTGGTTGAAGAAGGTGAGGAGAAGAATCCATGAAAACCCAGAACTTTCATTTGAAGAGTACAAGACGAGTCAACTCATCAGATCAGAGCTTGACTCGCTGGGAATTGAGTACACGTGGCCAGTTGCTAAGACTGGTGTTGTCGGGTCAATCGGGTCCGGGTCACAACCTTGGTTTGCTCTCAGGGCTGACATGGATGCCCTCGCCATTCAGGTCCCTTTTTTGGTGTTGGCATAATTCTCTAAAAAAAAAAAATTAAAAATGAATTCTTGTTTGATAAATTTAGAAAGTTAAAAAAAATCATATTGTCTTGTTTATACAAAGCTTGCAAATTCTTAGCTTTTTTTTATTACTCTGTTGTCTTGAATTAATTCTCATTTCTTTGGGCAAAAGTTTTTAGGAAAGTTAATGGAAAAAAATGTAAACAAAATTTAGTTGATGGTGGAGTTTATAATAATACATAAAGACAAATGTGATGTTTTTTTTCCTCCAATATATCTTTAAAGCATAAAAATATTTAATTTGACTGTCTTTTGAACTTTGTTTCTAAACTAGTGTATCATTGTATCTCCTGAAGCTGCCATTGCTAATATTCCTGGAATATTGCTGCCAAAATTGATAGTTTATGGTTGAACTAGATATACTCGGTACCATTTTTATTTGAAAGCAGTGACTTGTGGTATAATGTGTCACTCTGGACAACTGGTTGGCATTGGAAGCAAATTTGCAAGTTAAGGATCGAATTTAAAGGTGTCACATTGGTAATACCTCGTCCAATTCATGAATGAAGGGTTGTTTTAGGAAGAGAGTGGCGCAGTGTTGTAGTCTTTGTAGATATAGTAAGTGGTTCCTAAAGGCGAAGGGTTGGTTTACGAAGAGAGTGGTGCAGATTTGCAGATATAGTAAGTGGTGCCCGAAGGTGAAGGGTTGGTTTAGGAAGAGAGTGGTGCAGTGTTGTAGTCCTTGCAGATATAGTTAGTGGTTCTCGAAGGTGAAGGGTTGGATTAGGAGGAGAGTGGTGCCGTGTTGTAGGCTTGTAGCTGCTTGTATACTTGTATGGATCCACCGGAACAATGTTGTGTGGAATTCCCAACTGTTAGTCCATATAAATTGGTACAGCAGCTTATATGAGATGTTTGAAATGGAGTTTTGATTTTGTTATCAAATAGTTAGTGTTGTAGACAAGCTATGGTTAAGGGAGTAAAACTACTGGTTTCTTGCTGTCTTCCCTAGGCTTTGGAGAGGCCCTCAGTAGAAAAAGTCTCTACTTAAAATGCCTGTTGTTATTCAGTTCTTTTCTTACTGATTATAAAACTAAATTAGAGATGGTTTAAATTATAATCAATTTTTTATGGATTTTGTCCAATGGCCTTTTGCGCATAGGGTTATAATATGAAATTGGATGTTCTGACATTTTTACCTTTTCATGTGTTAGGAAATGGTAGAATGGGAAAATAAGAGCAAGATCAATGGTAAAATGCATGCTTGTGGGCATGATGTGCATGTCACGATGCTTTTGGGAGCTGCGAAGTTGCTGCAACAGAAGAGGAAAGCCTTAAAGGTCTTTTTATCTCAAGCATGAAAATATTAAAAGTTTATATCCTTATAATTTGCTGTGATCAATTGTTGATGCTGACCAAAAAATTGGAAATAAATTGTTGATGTTTAAACTGTATTAATTTATAGGGAACTATTAAGCTGATTTTCCAACCTGCAGAAGAAGGTCGTGCTGGTGCATATTCTATGATACAAGAGGGTGCTATTGACAATGTGCAAGCGATTTTTGGACTACATGTTTCGCCTTACGCTCCTATAGGAACAATTGGATCTAGACCTGGCCCTGTGCTTGCTGGTGCAGGCAAATTTGTTGCAATAATTCAAGGAAAAGGTGAAATGAGAGATCCAATTTTTGCAGCATCCTCCACAATATTGTCGCTGCAACAACTTATTTCTCGAGAGACAGACCCTCTTGATGGAAGAGTAGGTTCCTCATTCCTAGTGTTCTTTACACATTATTGACACATACTCAAGATCTACGCCATTGAGTTTTTTTAGCATCTAATTTTAGTGTTATTACAATACTCAATTTTGTCCTACTTGTCTACTTTTCTAACACTAATAATTATCAAATCTGGGCCTATTAATCATGTGTGACCTTTAAACTGATATAGGTGGTGACAGTGACCATGGTCGAAGGCAACCAAGAGGGAGATATCCCCGAGACTGTTAAGTTTGGGGGGACTTTTAGGAGTGCAACTGCGGAGGGGTTGTCCAATCTTCAAAGAAGGATTAAAGAGGCAAGTGAAACTATACTTGAACACAAATCTTTCCACCAACTTTCAGAAAACTATTGATTTTTCTTGCCTACATTGTTTATCTTATCCTCTCAGTTTCTTCTTTTTTTTTTCTTTTTTTTTTTTCTGTTTTTGATGTTTCTAACTACTGAGAATGCGGTTTCTGATTTCAAATTAGATCTCCTTATTTTTGCATGTCATGCCTTAAAGCCCTTTTATTCACTTATTATTATGCAAATTTCAATGGCCTCATTGCCTCTCTGCTCAGTTTTGAAAGCGAAATTTCCTCTTAAGTGTTTAACACGTATTCAAGATATGCACCGTACATTATGAAAAGGTTCATCTAAGGATAATTGTTTCCTTGTTTCACTAGGATCAATTAACTAATTGTTGTATGTAGAAATAATGTGTACAAAGATTTACTCAGAGAAATGGAATTTTGTTCAACGGATGGGGCTATGTATGTTTCTTCTGCATATGCTACTGATTAAAAAACAATTCAAAGTTCGTTTGTATTGTTATTTGAATTTCCTCATGTGATGAACATCTTTAACTTCAAGATTGGCTAAACTGGTTGAGGTTGAGACTTTCCTGTAGTTTGTACTTTTAAGTTGAACCGTTTGCATGACGGTTGTTTTTTTTTTTTTTTTTTTGGTAACTTTTTCTGACTTATGGACCTTATTTTTGTATTATTTTTTTTTTAATGGTAAGGAGAAGGCCCATCCTAGAAGGGGGGAATTTAAGGGAAATCCCTCCTAGAATTTGCTTGGTGAGATTCGACTTCTGGCCTCATGCCTGGAAGTCGGAGAACTAGCCAACTACTCTAACCTCCTATCTCATGGACCTTATTCTTGTATGATTGTATCCTCCATGGTGCTAAAATTAAGTTGATGTACAGAGTATAGACTCCGTCAGATATGTGATTTGCTTGACTGGCATGATAAGATGACAATATGCTTAAGAACATTTCTCTATTTATTTACAGGTCATAGTGCTGCAAGCAGCTGTGCATCGGTGCACTGCTACTGTTGATTTTATGGAAGAAATAGCAAGGCATTATCCTCCAACCGTCAATGACAAAATGATGTATGACCATGTGAAGGGCATAGGAACAATGTTACTCGGGGAATCAAATGTGCTTATTTCTCCATTTCTCATGGGAGCAGAGGATTTTGGCTTCTATTCGCAGAAAATTCCAGCTGCGTTTTTCAACATTGGGATAGCGAACAAAACATTGAATTCAGACAAGCCATTACACTCGGCACACTTTTTTGTAGATGTGGATGCTCTCCCAATTGGAGCTGCACTTCATGCTGCTGTCGCGATGTCCTATTTGAATGACAATGCAGCAATGCAAAGTCAATAAGGAGCTTCGTGAAGTTGGCTTTTATTTGCTGTAAGACATCAGTGTACAGGATATGTTCTGATAACTCCATCACATGAAAAATGGTGGCTAATTGAATTCAGGTAACTTGACTAGGTTTGTTTAGTATCATATCCATTTGTATTGTATGTTTTTACTACCCTGTCCTAATTTAGCTGTCACAATAATAGCTCAAACCACATTATCAACGGGACAACCAACTCGGATGGCTTATTATTGCATATTAGTGATAGGTTGATCATTTGCATATTAGTGATAGGTTGATCATTTGCATATTATTGCATATTAGTAGTTCAATTTGATCATTTGATAAATGTGTTGCCCACTCTTTCTCTTCTTTTCCTCTCTTGATACTATACTAATTGCTGGCCTGTTTACAGACTTCAGTTGCCTTGCTCCCTCGACCTTCCACTTCTTGCTACTGTATAGACTTATAGTTTGGTTAACATTGTCAAAGGAGCCTGATATAGGAGAGATTCATTACAAGTGGACAATCAAAGACATCAAGTTATGGATGTCTACTTGTCTAGTAATCGAATGTTTTGTATAAAAATTTCATATCTTTTATACCTTAAATTTTATACACTTATCATATAAGGTGTTTGAAATGTGTATTAGAACATATCGAAAATTTTATTTAACGCGAAAATGATTTGCATGGCTAAAAATATAACTTCTCTTTGCATACAAGAAATCAACTAGTAGACTAATTAATGACTAGAAAATCAGTATAATGTTGAGTAAAGACTGAAAGTAGACCTAAGCCAACCCTATTAGCATAATTTTTCAGATATTTGTTGTAATTAGTCAACATTTAGCTCCATAATATCCGATTATAAATGGCTATTAAAACACCTAAATATACTTGAATTGTGGAAAATGCATAAAATTCAAACCACTCAGTTTGTAAATGAGGGCCTTTGAAACTTTATTGACAGCCCTTCTTTCTTATTGCTAAAATTGTAGTTGGATTAATTTGCCTCGTAATTTTTGGTGTATAATCATATCAATCTCTTTCTGATTCCAATTCGTATTGTAGCTGCATCAATACCTTAGTGCAACAAAATGCAGCCTCCAGACTCGCCACCACAAGAGCCAATGACGCCAAAACCCATACAAACGTCACAAGCATCACCACCATCGTCTCCCTCGAAAATTCCACTTAATGCAAGTAACACAATGCAGCCTCCAGGCTCACCAACAGAAGTACCAATGACGCCGAGACCCATACAAACGTCACAAGCATCACCACCATCGTCTCCTTTGAAAATTTCACAAGGAGCATCACCATCATTGTCTCCCTCGCAAATTTGACATGCACAATTGTCATTTTCACCTAACATTCCACAAGGATCTTCACGATTAAGTACGCAAACATCACAAGGATCTCCACGTTCAAGTACACAAACGCCACAAGAATCTCGACATTCTGATAAACAAATGCGACAAAGATCATCCTCAGCACAATCAACTCCATCTCCAGGAAACGTTCCTTTGAGCTACCCACCACCCTCTAACCTAACACCCACAAACGCCGCTTTTAAGGTTGAATGGTCTACCGGACTTTGTGCATGCCACTCGGACATCACAAATTGTAAGTTAAACATAAACTTACCTACTCGTGACAACGATTAATAATGTGCTTGGTATCCTTTGTTCCGAAACAAATGTCTCAATTAATTTTGAATCAAAACATTTTATGAAAATGTAAAGAACAAGGTTTTTGTCGATACAACCACAATAAAACTCAATAAAGATTAGCAATTTTTCAACAACCACACCTAAAAGGCTAAATTTCAACATGAATCATACACCTAAAAGGCTAAATTTCAACATGAATCATAATGTGCCCTTGTAAAATATACACAATGTACCCAAGCAAATAACGTTTTTCTAAATAAATGTATCACATTATGACTGTAAGACAATATAAAGTAAAGTTTTCTTCAGGAATAAATAATTCTTCGTACATCGTAAATTATCGAAGCCTTAAAGGTAAGTATTCGTAAGGTCAATATACTGCAATGTTTGACATGAATTAAACAGATATAATGCATTATTTTTCTTGAAATTTATACAGAAATTGGAGTTGATTTTATATATTTTGGCAGGTTGTATCACATTCTTTTGTCCATGCATCACATTTGGGCAGATTACAGACATTGTTGATAAAGGGACATCATGTAAGATATCTTCCAGAAAAGTTCTATTTTAGTCAAGTAAGATATCTTCAAAAATATTCCTGATTTTCCTTCCCCCCCCCCCCCCCCCTGGATGCATACAGCTTGTGCTGTCAATGGAACAGTGTACGCAGTGCTGGCTATTGTTTTGGGATGTGCATGCTTCTTCTCCGCTATCTATCGTCGAAGGATGAGGCTTCAGTTCAATTTGAAGGGCAGCAATTTAGAGGATTGTTGTATTCATTCGTTCTGTGAGATATGTGCTCTTTCCCAGGAATACCGCGAGCTTCAATTGCGAGGATTCAATTTGGGTTTAGGTATAGAGTGGCAGTGGGTGGTGATTCAGGTATAGAGTGGCAGTGGGTGGTGATTCAACCATGTCAATGGTAGTGGTAGGTAGAGTCAAGATGGAGCAAACCCAGCTTCAATGCCTGCAACACAGCAGGCAGCATTTTTGTATCAAGTATCTGTTTAATTTACCAGATTATAGAGGAAGAAGAGGAATTGTGGCTTCCTATAGGCCACAGTAAGAATCCGATTTGATAATTATGGCCACATTTCCTTAGATTATTTATCAAAATATACATCTCACGTTTTTGCTCTGTTCAAATTTAGAGGAAAAAAAACATTTGAAAAGCTTATATTGTACATAATGGGGGCAAATCCCTACTTTTACATATCAATATAGTGATTTTGCCTATAATTAAAGGACAGAGAAACAGGGAATAACATGTTACAGTCATCTTACATGACTTCACCAATTACAAGTTGCATCAGGCAGGTAAACAAGCTTAGACCAAAAAACTATGAACAGATGCTAAGCTACACTGCATCAGGAGGAAATATGCTTTGACGAATCTGTCAAATACCTCTGGTTAGCTTCACTTGCTGATGCATTGCCAAATAGAGAACTCCACTCCATAAATCAACTGCTGCTCAGCTAATCCACTAAGTTATTTGGGAAGGAAATAGATGCCAGAAAAAGAAATCATATAATTCCAAGTTATCAAATACCTCAATCAAGAAATACAAGTTTATTCAGCTGTCACCAACAACCAATACAGATTAAATAAATGAAAGAAAACAGATCTGGGACATGAACTATGTAGTTAAAATCAGCTCACAAGGAAACGGAAGCTACTCATTACACCGGCAATTTTCCCTATTTCCGGAACTGGATCTACCAATAGCAGTATAAGGAGTATCAACATCGCATATGTAAGGGTGTTAATAACATTACATTCACAACCTTCTAGTGCTCCAAAAGATGGAATAGTTGATGGACAGGGCAAAAAAACTAGAAAGAAAATTCACCAAGCAGCAGAAAGATCCTTCCTTTTCCAATCACGCATAATGCAAAGCAACAGTAATAAGGCAAACCTCAGAATCGGGAAGAGGATCAGTAAACATTCAGGACCTACATAAAAACCCTGAAACAACTTAACAAGTTGCTTCTTGGTAAACAGCATGTAAAAAAAAAAACTGTAATAGCCTTTGGCTTTTATTCGTGTGTGTGGGTGGGTGAGTAACAAGTCCTGACTCCTGACCACTGCAATTTTTTATTGCCAAAGATATTAAATAAAATACCTAACTGTGTTACAAGAAGTTAGCAGGATCCCATATCTCTCTAATTAGCTTGCATAAGCACACTCCCCCAGACAAGGAACACTTTGGCTTTCAATCATTCTAATTTCAAGGCAAATGCTCCTAAATTTGGCAATTCTAAACCTTAGGAAGCTTCCAAAATATTGACATCCAATTAACAATGAAATAGCTGATGTCAGGAAAAAAAAAAAAAAAAAAAAAACTGATTGGCTCCTGTGTAATGTTAATAAGTGAGTGTAAATATTACCTGGTAAAAAGTGTGCAGTTCAGATGAAAAAAACTTTCATAAAAAAGATGTCCAGTTTAGCTGCATATCCCTAGTTTAAGAGTTTGAAGATTCCATAGCTTGCATATCCATAAAAGGGTACGTCTTTTAAGGTCTACACTCCTAATATGGTATGCAATAGCTGAAAATGGGAAGTATCATTTATCAGAAAGATGTATAAGATCCGAGTAGTACATTCTAGCAAGTTCCTTAAGATAAACTCAGCTAGCAACTTCATAGATTGGCTATCTTTACAAGGTCAGTTAGCAACTTAAGATAAACTCAGCTCTTAAATTGGCAAATTCAAGTCCATCCTACCTGTGGTTCGTATGGGCAAGAATCTGAAACTTTGCCATGTCTGTGTTTTCCTATCACTATAAAGAAGAGTTTTAACAGAAAGTTACCAGGACTTTTCAAGTGTTCAGGATCTATTTAGCAGTAGGAAATGGGTGTGCAGAATGCAACCAGCATATTGAAAGGATAAGGGCATCAAAGCTGAAACACGAGGTTTATGCATTGCTGTTGGCAGAAGCATAGTCAAAGAAATTTTAGATTTGTTTTTCATTGTACTGATCAGATGAAAGATATCTTAGTGGAACGATCCTATGCACGCCTCCACTAGCCCAATCCTTCCTAGAAAATTGGGATAAGCATTAGTGTTGCAATCAAGGGCCTGAACTGTGATGCTTGATCTTAACTATTATGGAGTACAAATCTATTTAATAGCCAAAAAAAAGGCAAGCAAAAGTGGAATCTAAGTGATTATATGCAGAAGAAGAGGTGCACTGGATTTCTAAACATGGGCATCTAAGCTGTTAGATCATAATTAGATCATGTTATAAAAGTATTTGTCAAGGGAAAGGGGTTCAAGAGACCTCCACAAGGAATGTTATCATAAATCAAGAAAACAATACTACAAGAAGTTTTCAGAGAAGCAACATTAACAACCTGATAGAGACAATAACCAATGTGCTTCTAGCATATACAACATTAGGAGGCTCAGACCTTAAATATAAAACAAAAGAAGAGCAGCATAAAGAATTGTTCCTCAACCTCCAACTGTTTAAAATATGAATTGTGGACAGATGAATTTCAACAAATTCCAATCCCTTTCAGGTTCTTTCATTGATTTTAGAATCAAAGGCCCAAAATATCAAAGGATGGGATAAATGGGAATGCGCATACTTCTTGAGGTGTTATACAACTCAACAGAAAGATTTAAAGATGAGTTGTGGTAATAGAAACAACTGAAACGGGTAGAACTTATTCTATATCAAATAAATGGAATGCATGAACTAAGGAAAAGCTATGAGCTTATGCTTTGGGTAGGATGAGATGACATAAATCACATAATAACGCATAGCAATGGACGAAAACTGCTCCAGATCTAATTTGAATAGCTGTAGATAAGACGTTTCCCTTTGTTAGGAACTACTATAGCAGAAAGGGTGATATACTCATTAAGAAAGGCATTTCAGAAACACTTATTGATGAAGTATGGTCCAAATGGTATGGCAGGTTCACAATCTTCAACAAACAATTCATTTTGTAGAGAACAACCCAAAGAAGAGTTCTTCCATAGAAATTGAGCATAATCCCATCAATTATCATCACTTGAAATTGTGTTCCAAGTTGA